TGACATCTGGTACATTTTCTTTTAATATTAATTTCTGAGAAAATTTGAGATAGTTAAATTGGAAATACAAGCTTATTTTAGTTTCCTTTTTTGAGAAAATTCAAATAGGGCTCTTGATTTCCTGATAAAATGTTGGGGTCATATAGTCTAAGCTGTCACTATATATAGGAGATCATTGTAGAATTTGAGCGTTACACACTTTGAATACCTTACCGCCATCCTTGATCATGTCTCCTTCAAGATGTAAACCCTGTTTGTCAGCATCAAGAGATGATGAAATACTCACTCTTTCCTGTTTTGTGTTTGATAATAAATACGCTTCTCCCTATGCCGGGGAGAGAAGCACATTATAGTATGCTTCTCTCTAAGCCAGAGATTTTTTTACGTGGACTTGGACTTCTAGTAATTCTCCCTGGTCTCTGGGTAGTGAGATCGGACGCCCTTGTGTATTGTTTGCGCATGTAAAAAAATCCCTTGGCAGTTGGAAATCGAAAAGAGTAGCCTTACGGCGTTGCCAGGGCTAAATTTTGAGTTAAAAATCTGCTCAAAGTATTTCAGGATCCTCGCCGGTGCTACAGAGCCTGTGCACCCTGCTCAGCTTCTTCGGACTCAGACTTGAGTAAGAAGAAGAACGGAGCCCTTGTGGGTTACTACCCGTGTGCCATGATGTTGATCCGTTGCTCAAAACCATCTCTATGCCGCTGTCCACAGCAAAACTGGTGGTGCCTTGTGTGATATTACATGTCCTACTGCTGCATTCTAATTACTGTTTCCATTAACAATGAACTGCAGTTCTAGTGGCAGACTGTCTGTGTTTGCACTTCTGATGGTTGCCTTACGCATTTGATGCATGTGTGTGCTTTTGTTTGCTGAGACTGCAGTCTGTTTTAATTTTTTTCCTAAAGGGACAATGATGGGCGTTTCTGTGTGGTTTTTGCTGGCACAGGAATGGAACAACATTGGAGTGACTTGTTTGCCATTACCTGATTTTCTATCCCGATACATAACAAAGTATAGATGCAGAGTCTGATTTAATTACAACTTGCTGTACGTTACTAAATTATGCAGAATGATTTGCTCCTCGTTGCAGTGTTTGTTGTGAAGTAGCTGCAGCAGAATCAACTACAAATGATGCAGTGCAAAATACTCCACTTCTTCCCGAAGATGCAAAAAAGATTCCCGACCTAGGCAATGGTTTTTTAGTGCAAGTGAGCAGATGTTTTACAATAACACGTTTTAGCATAAATTATTATGGTATAGAACTTTTCCAAACAAGTGATCAGAAATATAAAACTTTAAATAAAAAAAAAAAAAGAAGTATTGGAGTAAATGCCAGACTACTGAATGTAAATTTGCCCAGAAAAACTACACAGCAGACAGGGGCTGTTGGGGTTGGTTCTGCAACGTCCTGTAAAGGATACACAACCATTGGAGTAAAACTTTTTTTTTGGATGATAAATTTATAAAATAAAATAATATGAAACCTTTTAGTATGGAGTCATTAATTGAGTAGTTTTTTCCTGAGATAAGTTTTATTAAATAATATCTTTAGATGTTAAATGGCTTGAAATTAGAGGACAAAAACTGTTTTATTACACCTAAAATATTTTGCCTTAAAAAAAATTCTTCAAGTGTTGTAATGTTTTTAGGATCGGAGTTCAATATTGCTACTCTTCGTTCTCTTAAAGTAAAAAGTGAGGGACCCTTTTCCACACCTTCGGACATATTGGGCATATAGTGCTAGACCTATAATTTATAAACCAGACGGCACTCGATGATTGTTGTGGTCAGCATCATGCTGGCCTTCTTTATGTCCCAGGAAGTTACGCTGTACCCACTTGAGGCTAGGTCAACCGGAGCCATGTTATTTTTGTATTTAAAAATAAAATCTGCAGGTGAGTGTCTAGCCACTGCACCACAGCCTTCATTTTCTTAGTTTAATTCTTCTTTGTCTTAGTCAAATACTTCAAATCTACATTCTGTCATATCTTTTTTATCTTCTTTCTCTTGCATTACTTGCATTCTGCCTTGTTGATTTGGTTTGTAAGATACCTGTGATTGGAAATGGTTACCTCACTAAGTGTTCATTATTCCCCATTAGATCCATAACGAGAAAAGGATCAGTGTAGTGCATGAACCCTGCATTACCAGCAAAGATAAAATATTGTATATACTAAAATTAAACCTGCTAAAATATTCTTATGAGGACAGGTTTTCTAACTGAACATATTTTTTTATGTTCTTTGTTTTTGTTTGTTTTTTGTTTTGTTTTTAATGTTGTTGAATGTTGTACACCGTGCTTAATTTTGACTAATTAGGCGTGTTTCCTGCAAGGTGGTAGTGCATCTGTCTGAGCGGTGAGGAACTAATAGTCTGCACATAGAAAAGGCAGATCTGTAAAATAGATGTTCATGCAAAACTTAAGTTCTGGAACAAGACTGAAGTCGGGAAGTAGATGAACAACCAGAATTTTCAGCCACAATTTGCAGCCTGTGAATGCTAAGAAGAAAAAAAAAGACGAGACTATGTAACCACCATGTTACATAACCCCTCCTCCCCCTTCCCCCACCCAGAAATGGATCCTGGGAGTCCATACTGGATACGCAAAACAGTAACAATAAAAAATGTAGTTATACATTTTATTTGCAATAAAATTGTTTAATATTTTTCTTAACAGCTTTATCTTTATATTGAGCGACGATTGCTGACACTCAACAGTTTCTGTCCTGTGTGTGACATCTGTCATAGCAATTTTGTGTGTATGATGTTAAAGGTATGACATTTTTTATCCTAATTTAAATAGTTTCTTTTAATAGCACTATAAATAAATAAAACATTTAATGCCAAATTTTTTAAGCCCCACAATATTTTGCAGCACATGTGGAAAGAAGTAAACTCCCAGTAGTATTTTCTTAAGTGGTGATGCAGCTGATATTTACCATTAATAGCTGTGGCAAAACAATACATAAATCCTCCGTGTGGGTTCCGGGACCCCATTGTGGGGAATACAAGAATAGACCCACTGCCTCCCCAAAAGCATGTCGTAAGAGTCGACTAATTGGGGAGCTTTCAGAGTGCATCTGCCGGAGAGGCAAGGAACCAACAGTCTGTATTCAAGAGAATGAGATCTGTAAAACTGATGCACACGCAACACTCAGGTTCTGGAGCAAGACTGCTGTTCAGTAGTGGACGAGCAACCAGAACTTTCTGCCAGAGTGTACAGCTGGTGAACGTGAAGAAGAAGAAGAATACATAGATGACAGAAGTCATCCCATCATACGATTGAAAAGAGTTGTTTTCAGGAATACAAGCAGTTATGTAATTATAGGACTTAAGTCGTATAAACGCCTTCTTCGAGGGCAACGTTTAAAGCAGATGAGCAAGAGGTGGATAGCGATACAATTGGGAGGATAACAAAAAGAAATTGAAAAACATTTTAAATATGTGTACAGCAAGGATGAGAGACTGTAGAAGTTTTTCTTTGAAGCAAATCTTTATTGTGGAGATTGCATGTGATCAATAGATTGAATTTATCATGAACAGTAAAGGTATCAGAATACTTGAATGCAGACTGATCTATTATTAAATTATTCATTTAAGTATCCTTCCACACAGGGATAGAGATTAACGATCTTTCTATATAGTGTTATTTTTTAATAATTCAAACGATCTTCTTGGCATGCATGATTCTTCTATAAAATTTGATTTGTTTTAGTCCATGCAGTTTTGTTGCCTAAACTCCACATGAACAAGAGTGTACAAAACACAATCAGCTTTATTATCAAATAAAATAATCCCTGTGTGGGTTCCGGGGCCCGTTTTGGGAGAAAACAAATAGACCTGTTGCTCCCCCTCAGAAGCATGTCATAAAATTTGACTGATTAAGGCTGTTTCCGTCAAAGTCAGAGTGCATTTGCCTCATAGGTGAGGAACCAACAGTCTGCCTACTAAGTCATATCTGTAAAACATAGGGTGCACACAAAACTCATTCTGGAACAACACCAGAAGTAGACGAACCATTAGAACTTTCTGCCTGAGTTTACAGCCAATGAAAGCTAAGAAGAAGAAGATATAGAATCAAATCCAGACTATGACTCATCTTTAGATCTGTATTATTTCTTTGGAAACAAATGGATTGAGAAAATTAGGATGTTCAAAAAAAAAAAAAAACTACGAGGAACACTGAAAAGAGAGGCTAGAGATGCTGGACTGGTTTCAAAAGACTTGAAAAGATATCAAAAGATAGATTAGGGAAAATCAACTGTGCACCTGATGTGCGCCAAATCTCACTTGTACAGAAGTATGGTTAAGCAGCCCATTGATTGGCAAGATATATGGTCAAACAAATCATTCATTATAGAGAAGTATGGTTGAGCAGACTCTTCATTGTCTAGATATATGGTCAAGCAAATCATTCATTATAGAGAAGTATGGTTGAGCAGACCATTGATTGTCAAGATAAATGGTCAAGCAAATCATTCATTATAGAGAAGTATGGTTGAGCAGACCATTGATTGTCAAGATAAATGGTCAAGCAAATCATTCATTATAGAAAAGTATGGTTGAGCAGACCATTGATTGTCAAGATAAATGGTCAAGCAAATCATTCATTATAGAGAAGTATGGTTAAGCAAATGCTTAGAATACCTTGGACAGCCAAAAAGAGCAACCAAGAGGTTTTAAAAGAGGCGGGAGCCCGAAGACAACTTATCACTGACATCAGAAGGAGACAGTCATCATTTTTCGGCTATGTTATGAGAAGAGGGAAAATAGAACATGTTGTGACCACTGGAAAGATCTGTGGAAGGAGGGATAGAGAAAGACGAGAGAAGATGCTTGACAGTCTTGTTGCATGGCATGGAGGTGTGATACATGCTGCAGGAGATCGCGGATTATGGAGAGGTATGATCGCCCACGCCAGTCGGCAAGGCACCTGATGATGATGATGATGGTTAAGCAGACAATTGATTGACAAGATATATGGTCAAGCAAATCATTCATTAAAGAGAAGTATGGTTGAGCAGACCATTGATTAGCAAGATATATGGTCAAGCAAATCATTCAGCTAGAATGAAGACAATATTTATTAATCTTTGTAACAAGGAAAGTGTATGATTGATATTGTTTTTATTTTTACAGCCAGTAGTCTGTAGCAATCCATTGTGTACGTTTGCTTATCATGCTCTTGGGGTTATGTCGGGTGCTGCAGATACTACTGTTAGTGAACCTCAGGTAAAACACTGTGTTCCTCTGTTTCTATTATTTTATTTACACAGTGAATCAAAAACAGTGAAATGCATAGGTTCTGAAAAGGCTGGGAATAAAAAGAGAACCATCGAAAGAAATAAGAGACAAATGAAATATTTTGGCCACATTGAAAGACATGATATGCTTAAAAAAAAAACCTTTACTGGAGGGAAAGGCCAAAGGCAAGAGAGCAATAGAAAGACAATATTACAGGTCAGAGCACAACATAACAAAATGGACAAACTGTAGTAAGAGAGAGAGTGTACAATCAAGACAAGAGACAGAGCTTGTTGGAGATCCATTGTGTGAACGGCACCTGACTGATGGATTAAATGATTGATTCTTTGTTGACAGTTTGTATGTTGATACTGTTGGATCACACCTGGTAGAAGTTTCTCTATGTACTCTATAAATGGTATTGACATAATCTTGCATGTTGTGTGTTTGTTCCCCAAGTGGGTTCGTGGGCCACAGTGGAAGGGGGGAGGGGAATAGACTTACTGCCCTCTAAATATCATATGTAAATGGCAACAAGTTAGGTGTTTCTGAATTTGGATGTGTTAGGCCAAAAGAAGTTGGATGTGTTAGGCCAAAAAGATGCAGCTATGGCAGCCTAGCTGTAAACCACAACACATCTTATCACTCACTCTTTTAAAGGTGAACACAAATGAAGACGAAATATGTTTAAAAAATTAATTCTCTAACGTCTGCTCAGATGATGAAATAAATTTTACCTGACAAGTGGATCAATCTTCACTGCAGCTTGTGCTTTCTACTGCTGAGGTTCAGGATTTGTATCTTTCAAGGAACTCTTCCAGTTTTAATAAATACAATGCGAACAATGCATACAGATTTATGCTAATTTATAGAGTGAGTCAGAAATATGAATGCATGTTTAACTGCACACATTTAATCACACATCATTATTATGGCTATAGAAATGAGATAAAAGATAATTCTTGAAACCAACAATAAAAAAAAATACTGAGTGACTTAATATTATTCTACATTGAAGAGTAATTTATTGAATTTATTTTAAAATTTTAGCAGTATTTCTGATTTGACACACACACACACGCATGCACACGCACACACGCATGTGTGCACACACATACACACACACACGCATGCATGCACGTACGTACGTACGCACACGTACGTACGTCACTGATAAATGAAAAGAAAATTTGATTTATGTGCATTTTTTTTCTCCAAAATACACAATGATAAATGGAGTGAGTAATCTGTAAACATAAACAAAGAAATGCATTAAATGGAATATATTCACTTGGGCCTAAAAACAATATATTTTGGGTGTCTCATCCCTTACACTGACCTCAGTCACACTCATTTTAGAATGCTAAGGATTTTATCATTGTGATAATGAGGTGGAGAGAAGATTCAAAGACAAGCTTTTGGAATTGCATCCAATAGCTGTATGGGCATTGGAAAAAGTATGTGGTTGCTGAATGGAACAATTGTAAAGAAATGTATTCTAATTAATTATGTTGTGACATGAAAAATTATATTTACTGTTGTAAGCTAACTACTTCATTCTTTTTTTAATTACTCTTTTGTAATCTTGTATAGCAAGTTCGAAGGTTCTGCTGCCCAACTACTGAGTTGAATGCTTGATGGGACACTGAACTTTAGATTTCAGGGGAATGCTTTTTTTCCTGTTGTACCCATGATGTGTTGACTGTGGTGGTGGTGGTGGTTGGCCTCTTGCATTCAGAACGGTGTGTAATTTTTGGGTGCAATGCCGGCTTTCATGATTGACCTTTTGCGCCAGCATGAGCTGGAATTCTGGTGTGTGACTGTTAGTGTTGGCACATCTGACAGTTGTCTTATGCATTTTTACTTTGCATGTGCAAGCCTTAAGAGTTTGTTGGGAGTGATAAGTTTTCACTATTTATCAAATGGGACAGTTAAGGACATTTTGTGTGGTTTCCACATCCTCAGGGGTGGGGCAGTTATGGGGTGATCTATCAGCAGTGATGTTAGGACCTTGACTAACGACAAACATGAAATCTTTAAGATCATATTGAATTGCTATTATTCTTCACATGTATGTTGATCTTTATTTCACAGGGATGTTTTACATAACAGTTTGAAGGTAATATTTAATTGATTTTTTTTTATTCCTCATCGATATAGGTTGTGAATCTGTTGATTTATTTCACAAAAGCAGCTGTCAAGTCAGTTCGCAACAAAATTATCTTTGAACCTTATCCAACCATTGTGCATCCCACCAATGCTGATAAATTGGCCATACATCCAGGAGTAAGCATCCATTTATTCTGATAGTCACTGTATAGGAAATGAGGGGCAGGGTAGACCTATCGCCATTTAAAAAGCATCCATGAAAGGTGAAAATCTGTCGTGGTGGAAAATCTGGCGACCTTAGCTTCCAGGTCGACCCAGCCTTAAATGGGTAAAAGGAGCCTTTTCCCACGCCTTAAAGGCATATTGGGTAATAGGGCTAGACCTGTATTTTATAGATGAGTGATGGGGTCACTGTCACGCTGATCGCCTTTACTTCCCAGGACTCTACCTGGTACCCACTCAAAGCTGTGTCGACCTGAAAGCCAAGGTCATTTTGGAAAAAAATCCGGCCCTTGTCAGAAACTGAACCCACGACCTTCCGATCCACAGCCTAGAGTTTAGCTGCTACACCTCGGCTGCTCAGCCTTAAATGGGTATCAACTAAAATCCTGGGAAGTAAAAGCAGCTAAGGATGACGTTGACCAAATCATCCATTCAGGGCCCGGGTTTTGTCAAAAATTAGTCTAGCTTCCTGTGCCCCATGCACCACTGGCGTGTAAATGGACATTAAAAAGTAAAAAGTAACCAATTATGGGTTTGGTGAAATCGGAGGTTAGGCTTAAAGGTCTAGCCTGCCTGGAAACTAAGCACAATGCAGCAACTGCTCTTTTAAGGATGAATGCAAAAGAAGAAATATATCTTTTTCAATGTGTATTGCAATGTGTAATGCGTCTAGCCTGCATGCCTTAAACTGTTCTTGCCAGTTTGGTGTTTTGAGTTAACCCCCCCCCCCCCCCCCCCCCCCCCTTTAAAAAAAACAACTTTACTACAAGTTGAAATTTTAGATTTTTATAAAGAAATTATTAGAGCAGACAGAAAAGAATGATTGAACTATTAGAAGTGCTCTTGTTAGTGATCTTTCTTGAACAGTCAGAGATGTGTTATAACATCATGCAAGTAAATGATATAAAGTAAATGCTGAAGAAAATAAAAAAATAGTGCACCCGGACCAGATGGAGTTAGGTATTGTCATATAAGAAGTTTAAGTGAGGAGGAGCTTGGGAAAATGGCATCGTCTTTCAACAGAATTGCGTCACTTTCAATTGACTGGCTGCAAAGTTACTTCATACTAGGGCTGTACCGAATATTCACTTCGTATTCGCTTCGGGGCCGAATAGTGGACCTATTGACTATTCTGTATTCGGCCGAATACGAAGAGTAGTTACCTTACACCCGCTTCTGCATACACGGCCTTAATGCTTACAACATAGAACGATTGGTTTTGTTGAAAGCTAATGCATCTTTCCTGCATTAACTAAGCTGTCAGTGACAATTTCTAAGTTTAGTTACTTGTTATAATACTTAGGATTCTTTCATTCCTAGTTATTAGTTAACACATACTGACTAAAGGATGCAAAACATAAAATGTTTTTAAATTGTTTACTGTTCTGTACTAACTAGACATGGAAAGAATATAAACTCAGGCCACATCCAAGTCAATAATTTGAAAATCAAACGAATGAAAACATAAGAACTTGGGTGCAAACTTCAACTGCTCCAAGATGCTGAAAGAAGAAATATAATCTAGAATACAATCTAGAAATAAATTATACTATGCCCTTCAACATCTGCTAAAGTCAAAGTGTCTCGCAACACCAAGATCAAAATATATAAAACATTGATAAGACCAGTTGTTTTTTATGGCTCTGAAACTTGAAGCAGAAATAAAAGAGATGAGGCCTTATTACAGGTTTTCGAAAACAGTCTTTCGACAAATCTTTGGACCCAGCAAAGATGCTAACAGCAGGGAATGGAGAGTGAAAAGCAACAACGTAACACAAAATCTGTTTAAATCACCATTGATCACTGACATCATGAGAGCTAACAGACTAAAATGGTTGGGGCATATTGAAAGAATGTCAGATGGCAGAGAAGTAAATACTGTATACACCTGAGAGAGGAATGGGCGTAGACCACGAGGCAGACAAAAAAGAATTTCGAGAGATAATGTCCAGCCAGACCTGAAAACGACTGGTGTCACAAATTGTGATGGCAAGGCCAGCCAGAGAGATGAATGGAGACGAGCGATATCTGCAACAGTAAACCTCAAGGGCTCAGAATGCTTAAGTAGAAGATGACTATTCTGTGCTAATTTATGTGAAGTAAAAGTTCAGCATACATTTGACATTATGAATGTGTTTTTTTTCATAGATATATTTTATACACTATACACTCTTCGAATTCGGCCGAATAGTTGGTCCCGCTATTTGTATTCCACTTCTGAAGCCAAATAATGGTCATCCAAATTGAATGGGCATAGAATGATTAAGTTACAGAATACATTCAGTAAGATTCTTGAAAAGATAGTGGCAGGTAAACTGCAGGATCACCTTGAAAAACACAGATACAGGGTTAGGAAGTTACTGACTAAGAAAGGAAGTGTGGCAAAATGCAGCGAACCTGGTTTACAATTTTTTTGAGGGGTTTTAGCATAATGATATAACAGTGGTGGCAGCACTGTATTTCGAAGATGCAAATAAGAGGGTTAGATATGGCATTTTACTGTACACATTTTTGGATATGGTCAGTTCCATGATCATCAAATGGATTGCAGCAGTCCAATATGAACGGCAAGCTGCCTTTCACTTAGGTTCGTGAAGCTCTAAACTATGTAGTACCTGGCGTCCCACAGGGTTCCACCGTTTCTTCAGTGCTTTTCATTGTATACACAAGCAGGATAGTGGCAGTAGAGACAGTGGGTACCGGAAGAATCTTGACTTTTGCTGAAGGTGTCCAAGTCTTTATACAGGGAAGAAATAGAATAGAAGTATCTAGAAAACTGCAGTTCACTGTAGATATGGTAGGTGGGTGGTGTGAGGAAACAGGCTTGGTCATCACCCCAGCTAAGGCAGCAGTCTTATGGTGTTCTTGAAATAAGAGAATTGTTAGAGGTGTTATGCAGGACGTCACATTTAATGGCAGTAACATAAAGAGATATAATTCACTCAAATATCCAGGAATTACGTTTGACAGGAGACTGTCTTTTAAATACCATGTGGAGGAGGTTGTTTTAAAGATAGGGAAAGGTCTCTATTCTTTGAAGGTAAAGATGGAACAGAAAATGCTATATAGACTACCAGCAACTGATTATTTTGGTGATGGAGTATGGTTTGTGACTACTGACATGATCTCATACTCAAATGGAGAAGCTTAAACACATACAGAATGAAGCCATGTGAGTCATTTTGGGGTGTATGCTTGCATTGCCATATGTATATGTGAGATACAAAGTTTTGCAGGTGAAAATATAAATTAAATTTGCAACGGACAGGGAACACATGGGACATAAGGCAATAGCAAGGGACAATGGTTAAAAAGAGGGAGCTCTTGAATGGCACAGACAGATGACACGATCAGAATTGTTTGTGCTACTGATAAGGTAGGCATGGTTAAAAAACGGGTTACAGAGCTGCCCAGCAAAACAGACTTGCACACAGCAATAGTTACTTGGACCGAGGGTACCGGAAATGGATAGCTGGTGAAAGAAAGTCAGTGGTGTGAGTGCTGATCAAATAAAATTAAAGCCCAAGTGACATCATAATACATACAGATGGGGAATTAAGAAGGGTAGGTGGGATGAACAAACATTGCTTGAAAACGGAGAGCCTCCAATACAACGTCACTACATCCAGTATGAGAATGGAGGTGTAGGCAGTAACATCAGTTTTCCATTGGCTTTAGATCAGCACAGCCTGACATATTGTAACTGTAACAGACTCAAAGAGCATGCTTTGAAAAATTGAAACTGGTGTCCTGCACACAGAGTGGCTTGTATCACATGATATGACCCAGATAATAAGCATATTGATTTTTTTGGTTAGGTGTTCAAGGTAATGAGCAGGCTGATAGATTAGCTGCTGCTGCTTCTTTGGGCAGTGAGCTACGAAATTATAGAACAGATGTGATGAAGGCTCTGTGGGATAAAATGGACAGTGCAAAAGAACAGATAGGGAATTTATACATTGAAAGACTAATTCATCGGTGTGTAGAGGTTCTGGAAGCTTCAGCATTGAAGGGGAAACCATCATTTGGTGCTGTTAGCATTTAAACTCTTTGATGGTTTTTGAAGAAGGGCACAGAGCCTGTGTGGAAATGTCCTGTGTACAGTGATGTTAATTCTTAATTCATTCATTCATTCTTGAAACCTTTATCACTTAGCATCAGCTAATCAGGCAAGGTGACTGGGAGCAGGAAGAAAAAAATCAGGCATAAAAAAACAAATAAGAGGAATTTATGTAACATTAAATAAGCTACATCAAAATGACATTGTTTCGTGCGTTATTTGGTGGAACTTTGTCAGCAGCTGTTATATTTTACCTTTATGTTGAGGCAATGATTAAGTTATTTGCATGTTCTGTTTAGGATGTCACAAACTAAAGCCAACATTCGTTGATTGTTTGTGATTTTGCTAGCCAAATTTATGTTCACTAGTTTGCCATTGCTTTCTGACGCATCCTTTGTCCAAATTGATTTATTACAGTCTGTGATATGTTGGGGAAAAAATAATCTCTATGGTATTATACCCCTGATTCTGGGTAAGATATATATATATACAAATAACTTATTTTTTTTTTAAACTCTGAAGGAAAAGGATTATAAGTATTTAGGTGAAATTCTGGACAAGATGCCTACTGTTCAAGAAATGTTGAAGTATAATGATGGAGAATTAAAGGAGATTTTAAAAGAGAAACATGAATTATGTTATCCACTTTTGAGATGGTAAGCATTGTTTGTTTAAATTTCAATGCTTTCTCAGAAAATGTCACAAATTGTTTGTTGTTCAAAATCTGTATTATATTTGTTTTGTCACCTATATGGTTTCCCTAGAACTATTTTTAGGAGAGAAAAAAAGGACCCAAGAGTCACCCTAATAAGTATGTTTTATAAGGTGACAGTTTTGTTGTTGTTCCATGGTGACTTCTCACAGGCAAGAAGGAAAATTAAGGTAATTGTGATATGTATAAGAAGTTACCTCACCTCGGGCACCAGCCTGCTCTAGGCTGGTTTTACAGATCCTCATGCAAGACCCCTGCCACATGTCCCCATTGTGCGCCATGAATAATGGCTCAAATTTGCATAAACTGGGAATCTTGGAGTTGGTGGCCCCTAGAGATGAGTGCCCAGTAATCTTCTGGCTCTCATCAGCCCACTCCCAATGCTTGGGCAAAAACATCAATCAAAAACTCATTTGGAACAGGCGTAAAATCCGCTAGCCAGATATACTAGTAAATCTCAACCCTCAGTTAAAATGCCTGTTGAGTGAAAGAACTACGGAACTGCTGAGATTCAGCCGTTAACCAAGAGATTTAAAATTGAAGGTAGTGATTAATTCCTACCATTTTTTTTCCAAAAGTACAACTGGATTTTATATTATTTTTGGCTCCAAAAGGCACTTAAAGGCTTATTTTCAAGTGATGTCTTCTTAATTAATGCACATTTATTCTAGGTCATGTCACCTTCTTCTGGAACATTCTTAAATGTCAAGTCCTTCGTGTGTTTCAACTGACAAATGAAATCTGTTAGTCTGACTGACGATCTTAGCTAGGTCTTTTAACCAGGACTTTTATTTGGGGTAGGGCTTATCTTTGGGTTAGATCTTTTTTTTAAGGGAAAATAAGCATTTGGCTTCCATAGAAATTTGTTTCTTAAAAGACATTTATGCAAATACAACACAATTATATATAAATAACCACAACAGGCAGATTTTGCTTTCATTTTCAGGATTATATCAAGCAATCGGTCACATATTGTGAGGCTGCCTGCTGATAAGGTAAAATACATTTTATTGTGAAAACATATCAGCAGCTGCTTTATTGAATTCTTCTTCATCGCATTCACTGGCTGTATACTCTGGCAGAAAGTTCTGATTGTTCAGTCACTTCTGGACTTGTCTGTTCCAAAATTCCAGAACTCATAGTTCTTATAGTTCTGGTATGCAGACTGTTGGTTTCATGCCTTTTATGCAGATTGACTATAACTTTGATGGAAACACCCCTAATTATATCTTTACAGCATGCTTTTTTTTGGGGGGGGGGGCAATGGGTCTAACCCCCCTCCCCCCACCCCTCAATTTCACCCCGAAGTGAGACTTTGAATCCCACAGTAGGAGCTTTATTGACAGTAATGAGACATTCAGCATGGTTTCATCAAACATTTTTTCCAAACCATAAAGCAACTTAAAGATGGAGGGTCAGTTATTAAACTAATTCTGATTTGATATAAAAATTAATTGGAAATACTCCATTTGTATTCTGGATCCCCATATTGGTGGACAAAAGAATATCCTGCTGTCTCTTAACAAACATGTTGTAAAAGATCTTCTTCTTCTTCACTTCCTCTTTTACCGCTGTGGGTGTCGAGGGAGATATAAGGTTCTGTTTCTAGCTCTTCTGGCTGCCTCGACCATAGGTACATCGTGCTGTTGTAGAGTTTCTCTGATGTTATCCTTCCATCTTGTTCTTGGTCTACCCCGTGCTCTACGTCCTTCTTCTCTTTCCATGTATGCTTTGTATGGTATGGTGTCACAAGGCATTCTCTCTAAGTGGGCAAACCATTTCACTTGCTGTCTTTGTATGTAATCCAGAATTGGTTCTGTGCCGACTTGTTCTCTTATGATCTCATTCCTGATCTTATCTCTTATGGTCACTCCTACAGCCCTTCTCAGACATCTCATTTCCGTGGTTACTAATTTTCTTTTATGGTTTGTTGTGAGTGACCATGTCTGGCACTGGTAGCACAGAGTTGGAATAAATATGCTTTGAGTAAGATGTCTCTTTGTACTGATTGGGATTGTCTTATGCTGTAAGAGGGTGGCTAGCTGTCCCGATACTTGGTTTGCTTTACTGCATCTAATGTCAATTTCTTTATCCAATTTCCCATCTTCGGTAAATGTAGTTCCCAGATATTTAAACTCAGATGCCTGTTTAATGCCTTTGTATTCTATTGCTATGTTTAGATCTGTCTTCTTTTTTCCTATTGACATTACTTCTGTCTTTTCAGTGTTGATTGTAAAAGATGCTTTCTGGAAATTGATATGTTGGGCCAGAGTGTGAGGATATAGCAGTAAACAATACAATGTGCCAACCAAACTTTTAAGGGTGATCTCAGAAGAAGGAGAAACAGTAGTGAATGCAACACTATAACAAGCCCATATTAAACAGTAAAGGCACGAGAAAAGGAAGTTTATTATCATCAGGCATATACAGTGCTTTTTATAATTAAAAAAAAAGATAACCGGCCTTTGACTGTGTAATCTGACATGACCTAACAACTGTGATGATTTAGTTGGTAACCAGTCTTCTACAGGATTATGTCTCATGTATTGCTAACCATTTTTCCTGAGTGGGTTCTGAGGTCCCATTTTTGGGCAAAATAAAAGATCCACTACTCCTTAACAAAAGATGTTATAAAAGATGATTAAGGATTTGTTTAAACTTGATGTGTTGGGCTTGAAAGTGCAGATTTCACAGCCTAGCTGTAAACCACAACATGCCAGCCACCCTTTCAAGTGTGAAGATTAAGGAAAACAAAAGCTAATCATTTCTGATGCGCACATTCATTCATGCTATTATGCCGAACATCTATCTTGGCCTCCCTTACATCTCTTCTTTTCCATCTTTCCTGTTGTAATGATGTACTCCCGTATCCCCTTCTCATGACATGGCCAAAGTATGTTGATTGTATATTTCTGATGTAGGTATCAGTTCTGTTTACGAATTTTTTCTTTAAACAGATTTAATTGGGAATGATGGATCTGTGTTTAAAAAGAATGGTCAGCTAGCTAAATAGTAAAAGATGGCGAAAGTTAGCTAGTAAAGATGTTAAATAGTAAAGATACTTCTTATTTGGGTTTTGGGTCATTTGAACAAAAAAATTTTTTTCTAGAAATTTTGTTGCAACTAAAAAAATAATTAGACGTGAAGGATCGATCTGTCAGTCAGAAAATAGTGAGCTTGCTACATAGGGATGACAGCAAAGGACTGCTCTGATATAGGATTGTTGTTTGTACATCCTGTGGTATAGTGAGCTGTGATGACTAATGCCTTGATATTCACATAAAATGAGCCTTAAATTGACTCACATCTAACCCTAAGGTTTCCTTGTAATCTTGTAGCAAAGTACCATAGTTATTTATGGTGACTGTTGCAGATCTATCATCAGATGGAAAATGTGTGACAGAGATTAAAAGCAGAATAGGTCAAGCAAAAGCAGCATTTCAGAAAATAAAAAAAATATCTTATGCAATAGGTCGCTCTCATTTAATGTCAGAAAGAGAGTGCTAAAATGTTACACAGAACCTGTTCTGCTGTATGAGAGCGAATCTTGGAATGTCTGAACAAATTAGGAAGAATTTTATAGCAACAGAGATGTGGTTTCTGAGATAAATGTTACCAATACCTTGGTGGCCAGAGTAACTAACAACGATTGTTTGAAAGAAGCTAATGAAAGTAGATCTCTATATACAACAATAAAAAGGAGACAAACACTGTTATTTGGCCACGTATTGAGAAGAGAGGCATTGGAAAACATCGTGACAGCTGGAAAGATCAGTAGAAAGAGAGGTAGAGGCAGACCAAGAGACATGATGCTGGATGGTCTGAAATGATGGCATGGACGGATATCATCAAGAGAGCTGTTCCAGGCAACCAGGGATCATGATCAATGGTGATGCATGAGGGCCTACGTCAACTAACAAGGCACATGATGATGATGATGTTTGCAGATCTCCCATTCATTTCTCCAAGCTTAGAAGCCAACAAGCTCGAAAATCATATCCAGAGAGGAATATTAGGATGCAACCAGTGATTCAGTTTATCCCATATCTTCTTCATTCATTCTTAAAAGGGAGGTTGGCACATTGCATTGTGGATTACAGTTAGGTTGATATCTGCATCTTTTGACCCCAAAACATCCAATTTAACTATATGATTAATTTATTTTTTACAAAATATCCTTGTTAAGGGTGCAGTAAAGTAACCTCCCCCCCCCCCCCCAGTACAAATGGGCCTATAACCATGACAGTGGTGTTTAAAGCACATATGAACTCGCTGGGATTATACCTAGGCTGGTAATGTTTCCTTCACAAGCCATCATCATCATCAGGCTGCAAGCTGTTGCACTGACTGAGGGATGTATGAGATTGTCACATGGAATGTTGAATTAAGAATCCAGATCATAGCACTTAGGACCCTCCATAAGCATTCTGTCTCAATCTTCAGCAGCAAGCAAATAGTTCCAATTCCGATGATACCAGAAATTGTCTGATTGTACATTTGTCTCGCTTTGCCCTTGAGTGTTGAGTATCAGCCAGATCCCCTGGTAACTCCCCAAAATGCTGTTCTCCTCACGCCGTAATGATCTGTTTGTGCCTCCGCACTGTTCACTTACTCCCAAAGGGCCCTCACAACAACTAGCTTGACATACATCAGCTCACCACCACGTGTTGCTGAACCAGCCAATCTATCTGCCTGCCTGTGTCAAGTCACAGAAGACAGATTTCAAAATGAATATGTTTGTGTTCATTTTGTAACACGTTTATTTATATTTTACAATGTTAGTACAGGAACCATGGAGGTATGCTGGGTCGTGCACTTGCTCACCATATCAGTGGTCGTTTTTAAACTCCCAGCAGTGGGAATTATTTGGTTTGACCAAGAGTCAAACTATAAGTGCTTCTGCATTCTCAGTCTGTTAGGTTTATTGCTGCAAATATTACCTGTGCCAGTTCATCTCTGGCATTAGTCTTCTCATGGTAGTTTGTGACTTCCAGTGTTTTGGTTTCCACATGAAAGATGCAGATTGACAGGATTTTGCTGTACATTGTTTGCCTTTATCGCACAATATGCTCTTTATACTCTTTAACCTTTGAGTGTGAACTGATGGTGATGGAGAGTACAGTTTTTGGAAAACAAGGCAGAGGCAGACCTCTGTGAATATGGATACAAGACTTTAAAGATGCATTAGCTGTGAAAGCACATAGGGCTAGGGAATTGGCTAGAGAGAGAAAGAAACTTTCAGGTGTGCCATGACGAGAGCAAAATTCTGTAAATAGCCCGCTGACTGATAAAAATGCTGATATGAACTGACTACCTCATATTCTTCTGTTAAGATCTACAGTTTGTGAAGGCCGAACTCCTAAACATCTCAAAGGCTGTTTTGTTATGAGGTTATCCCAGTGTGGGTTCTGGGGTCACCTTGTAGGGAAGACAAGAATAGACCCACTGCCTCCTCAACAAGCATGTTGTAGGAGTCGACTAATTGGGAACTCCATTCAAAGTCAGAGTGCATCTGCCTGAGCTGCAAGGAACAATGAACTGCACACAAATAAGCTAGTAAAATTGATGTACACACAAAACTCAAAACCTGGCACAAAGCCGAAGTCCAAATGGACAAATAGCCTGAACTTTCCGCCGGAGCTTACAACCGGTGAACAAAGGAGAAATTGTTATGAGGTTACTTTTAGATTTATTGCAAATTTGGCATTTACAATCAAACAGCAACTGACCTTCATGGGAACAACACACCAGTATTTGATGCGTAACAGTCCCCCATTGCAGGATAGACAATTCAGACAGAATAAGGACAAGTTTGGAAGTGTTTTTGCATTTCAGTAAGTGCATTTTGTTTTTAGTTTTATAACTTCTTTAAAATACAGCATTATTTTTCTGATAATTTAAAAAAAAAATATTAATTTTACTTCTGCTTAAATTTCTTTTACTTCTTTGAGTTTGAGTTTTACTTCTTTTTTTTCTAGTTCTTGCTGTTGTGGCAGCCTCGACCATAGGCAGCTGTGTACTAGAAGATACTAGAAGATGACTATGACCATGACTGCTCCGGATATGACACATTAAGATAAATTTTTTGACCTTTTGGCCAGTAAGAACAAGTAGAAAGTAAACTTTACTGGAAAAAATAAATAAATAACAAAAGCAAAAATTATACAAGAGACAGTATGGCTAATGTAGTAAGCTTAATTTCATTCTAGTGAATGAATCGGTCTTAGGGTACATGCTTATATAGTATGGCATCACATGGCATTTTCTCTGGGCATGTATGATGTATGTAAGTTGTACCCCACCAGGACATCACACAAACACCCGGTGGCACAAAGTTCCACCATGCAGATGACGACCACCTGTGGAGAGGTCACAGAAACTCTATTCAGCTGCCAGGCCACACTTATGGCCCAGCTATATTTAGGGCCCCCAGCAAAAGCCAGGGTGAAGCTTCAAATAATGAAAAATTGCATCCCACATGGGGACGACAACGTATAAAGCTTCTCTTTGGGCAAACCATAATTATTTGCTGTTTTTATGAAATCTATTACTGGTTCTGTGCCTTTTCGTCTTACTTCTTCATTCTCAATTTTTAGAATTTTTGTTTGAAATTATGATTTATCCTTCTTGCTCGATATTCATGGTCTCAACTGTAATACAAACTTTCAAGGAGCATACACGCGGTGAACTTTGAGACTGAAGTGATTTTTTTTTTTTTTTAAATTAATGTGTAATTTAAAAAAAAAAATGTCTTCACTATTCATGGGGAGCTTGCACTTCTCACTGACCCTGAGAGATATGCCTGCGGTAGTGTATCTAGCAGCAGGGCCTCTGAAGCCAGAACATCATAGGGTAGACAAAAGAGAGAGATACTTTAGTTTTCAACAACGGGTATTGAAGCATGGGTCCAACACCCCTACCTTGTAAAACCTCAGCTCCCACAAAACAGATCTAAGCACCTACAAACACTTGAAATCACAACTGAAAAGAGAAAGGCAGCCATGGTGATTTCTGCAGCAATGAATCTTAAGGTCTTGGAATGCTGAAGAAGAAAAAGAACATAAAGTTTAATTTCAAATGTTATAAATTTGCTATTTTAAGAATAGTTTCACCAAGATATTATTATTATTCTAGTTTTTCTTTGAAACCTTCACTCTCATTGCAGTTTTCCTTTAATGTCATATGCAACAGTTAAAGTGACTACTGCTTGAGACAGAAAGTCTTAAAGCTAAAATTGCCTGTGGAAGAAAATTAAATGTGCAGATAATAAAATTAGCACCCCCCCAAAAAAAAAGTATGCTTAATGGTAATGTTACATTTGAATAGGTTTTTCCCTCCTCAGTGGTTCTCCAATAGAAAACTGGCATTCCATTATCCGGGAAGGATTAGTTGTAGCCTCCAATACTAGGAAACAGGTAATTGTCACGTTTGTTTTTGTATGCTAATATTATTTTACATTATAACTCATATTATATGTTGTCTTACGAGAAGTAACATGTTTTCAAGAACCAAGTGATGACTCTGAATCTGCAGCAATGACAAGACTGCAAGAGCAGCATTTTAAAAGGGGTGTAACCAGACAAGAGCACTATACAGGAAGCCAAAGAAGAACAAGAAACCTACATAGAACTGGTGTCATAAGTCGCAACACACTGCTGGATTTACTAAGGAGGGGATCCCACCACTTATGGACTGAATGGTTCAATGTGCAATGAGGATAATCTGTTAACTCATACTACTTTGGATGACGACATGGCTTGGCTCCTAGACACTCACCTTCAGCCTGAGGTTCATGTGTTCAAATCTTAACAATTGGAATTATTTTCTTCCAAAAAATAACTGACACTCCAGTGTCAGCCGAGCCTCAAATGGGGGCCAGGTAAAATCTTAGGAAGGAAAGGTGACCAGCATGATGTTGACCATATCACTCACCGAGTGCTGGTTAGTCTCTAAAATGTGGGTCTGGCACACTATGTGCCCACTTTGTCTAAGAGTGGGGGTGGGGGGGGGGGTGGGGGGGGTCCATTACTTTAATTTTATTTATTACCTTTTCTTTCCCTTGAATTTTTAGATCTAATTGTTGTGATCTCTCATCAGATATGTTTATTTGTATCTAAATTTGTATGTAAGACAAGAGGGCAGTATTGTGAGCCAAGACTAGATCCACTCTGTCAGAATCCATTACAGTTTTAATTTAGATGCAGATGGGGGAACAAACAGGTGAAAAGATGTGTAAACAAGGCACAGGGAGCTTTCACTGTGTGAAGAAACTTGTGGAAATCAAAAGAATATGAAAACCTGATACTAGATGTATATTTAGTGGCTATATTTTATTGACCTACCAGCTAAATGTCTTAGAAAACTATCAAATTGCTCTCCAGTGGATTCCGGCCCATTATGGTATGACAAGAAATAAGTTGGCGGACAGAATTGCAAAAAATTAAACAAAAGAAAAACCACACTCTTTTATTGTCGTTACCAGCAATCAAATCACTGTTCAATAGAAAATGCAAGGTTTCGTGGAGAGAGCAAACCAGTGTTAAACATCCACAAGATCCCATCAACAGACTCAACAGAATAAATGAACAAAGAATTGACATTACTTGGAACGTTCCCACACATGCTCTGTCTTCTTCCTCAGAAGCCAACAAAGAGTCGATATTGAATAGAACCTCTTGCAACCTGGCTAAAAGTCAACCAATGTTTTCCACTCAGTGTTGAGTATCTTCCAGAACATCTACTCACCCCCTGCTGAATTAGCCTGTCAGTGTATGGATTCTCGGTCTGTTCTGTTACACTGTCTGCTTGATCCCAGGGAACCTTTAACCACTTCTGTTTTATCATGTAGCTCACCACCCAAAGGAGTGGCAGCAGCCAATCTATCAGCTTGCTTATTACCCCGCACACCTACATTTCCTGGACAGAATAACCATGGTATGCTCCTGATCAGAGTCTTATCAAGCTATGCAATTCACACTGTGCATAGGATGCCAGTTTCTGTTCTCTGAAGCATGCTGTATGAGTCCTTACAATTAAATGTTAGGCTCTGCTGCTCTCAAACCATCAGAAAGCCGCCGTGGCCTCCTCCATCTCCATTGTCACACTGACTTTTTTAATGTTATACGCGAGGCTCTCTGTTTTCAAACAGGTCTATCAACCTTTGCAATAACAGGACACTGTAGGCTGAGCTACTACATGCATAAAATAAAATATGTACAATCCCCATATTGTACATATCAGATAGGGCCAGAAACACCTAAGCATATTCTCCTGACCTGCCCACTGTACTTAAGAGCTGTGAAAAAACCTGACGTTAAGTTCAGAGTGTGTGCAGAGCAAGCTATGGGGAACCTCAAAGGACCTGCAACTGACATGCAAATTCAGAGAGGCAACCCACGTGACAATCTGACCTGAGCTTATGAAGCTGAACGCAGTGAAGTAGTAGTAATGGCTTTATGAAGTAGAAATGGAGAATGGCTGATACATTTACCTATAAACTACTAAATAACAATTTAATTAGCGCCTGTGCACAATAAAAATTTTAATGGTATGGCAGAATCACTGATGTTGAGCATAGGTAGAGAACTAGAGGTTTCAAGCAAAAAAAAAAGAGTGAAAGGATTTTGATGCTGAAAAGGACAAAGAATGTGAAAACATTATAGTATAACTAGAAAAATCTTTCTATAGAACACACAGGGCAAACGACATTGTTATAAAACAGGAAAATATAACCAGTGAAGCTGGAATAACCATCAGTTTTTTATATATATGTGTGTGCGTGCATGTGTGTGTGCGTGTGTGTCAGTCCCTCCATTGTCCTATCCTGTCCTGTCTGCTCTATCCTGTCCTGTCCTGTCTGTTCTGTCCTGTCTGTCCTGTCCTGTGTGTGTGTGTCTGTCCTGTCCTGTCCTGTGTGTGTGTGTCTGTCCTGTTTGTGTGTGTCTGTCCTGTCTTGTCTGTCCTGTTCTGTCCTGCCCTGTGTGTGTGTGTGTGTGTGTGTGTCTGTCCTGTCCTGTGTATGTGTGTCTGTCCTGTGTGTGTGTGTGTGTGTGTGTCTGTCCTGTGTGTGTGTGTGTGTGTGTCTGTCTGTGTGTGTGTCTGTCTAAACAGATGAAATGTAGCCAACTTAACTTACCACTTAATACAGTTGTGAAAATAGTGTATAAAAAGAAAAGGTACTGCAGTATGAACAGATTTAAAATAAAAATGTGTTTTGCTTGACAATTGAATGATTTATTGTAACATAGTTTATTTTTTCACTGAATGTGGTTTAATAAGCCATTCACCCCTCTACCTTATTTATCTGTCTCTGTCACTCACCTACAACTCTCAATTTTCTCTATCTCTGTCACTTCCCCCTCCCTTCCCTTACCTCACCTTCTTCCTTTCTCTTCACTCCTCTTTGCTCTCTCATATTTTCTTCATTAGCTTTCCCCATCCTCCTCTCACATTTGCCTCACTCCACCTCTCAGTAAATCATTTAAATTAGTTAAAATAATGAGACAATCTAATAATTATAAAAAAAAATTATAATGGTAAACTTACAGTAATTTTAAATAACATACCAACATTGTAGTAACAATAGTGTTTGTGATGTTCTCCTAGCTTCATGGCTGCATTAAAGGCAGAGGGATTTACCTGAGCCCTAAGCTACAAGTTTCACTCAGTTACTCAGGCCTGTCTGTAAAGGTTGTTCCAGTAGAGGAGCCAAGACAGTTGAGACAGGTTAACTCTTTAAAACAAATTACTTTATTTGTCAGAAGTTTTTATTCTCTGAATAGTAAAGATCCCTTTTCACGCCTTAAGGCACATCAAGTACATGGGAAGAGCATCCCATATTTTTACAGATCAATCGGCACTGAATGAATAATGTTATTCTCTGAATAGGCCTTAAGATTAGTCTGCCCCCCTAATTATCTGTTAGTATTAGTATTTAATCTCATCATTCCAGATCGGTATGTGCATCAGCTCTTGTTTTTACCGGTAACCTGCCAGAGAGAGAGAGAGCATCACATGAAAGTTGATCGCTTCTGAATCCCAAAATGCTTATCGCATCACTGTTTCTTTTCATTGCTTATCACATCAGTCAGTAGTTTGGGTTAGTACATTACAGTTGCAGACTAGATTTGCGTGTATAAATGGTAATCTACTGAAAGGCTATAGATCTATCTACACAATGACACTTCCAAAATGGAAAAAAAAGTTAGTGACATTCCAACACCGCAAGTTTTAAACTCCAGGTAATAAAACACGACAATATTTTTGCAGAATGTCATTTCAGATCTTTACCGATGGCAAAATAATAAGTATAACATTTCTTTAAATTTGAGCTTCTAATGGAAAATTCAAGATTTTTTTGCAGTGCATGTTATACAGGGACATCTTATACACTGACAGTTACAGTAAATATACCATAAAAAAAAAACTATATATATATATATATATATATATATATATATATATATATATATATATATATATATATATATATATATATATATATATATGTATATATATATATATATATGTATATATTTATGTGTGTGTATATGTGTGTATATATAAATATATATCAAATATAAGACTAAGATGTAACTGAATTTTTAAGCAAATTTGAAATGTTGCTAGGTAGTGTTAATTTGTTCACAGAATTATTTTTTTTTTTTTTAGATGTACAAAAATATTGGCATTTTCAATTTAAAGATGAGTAATTAGATACCAGTTTTGAGTATAAGATGCTCCTACATTTTAGGTGTCATCTCTGACTGTTTACCTGCTTAGAGTGTTCATTACCCAAAACCTGACCTCACATGGGTCAACTGCATGGTGTTGAGCATTGAATCATCATAATCATCATTTAGCTGGTCCTTAGCAGAACATCACTCTCATCACAGTCTGCCTGAAAGATACCCTGTCGCTCTCTGGCTCTCCCACCTCCCCAAGTTTCATTTTCAAGGAGTCCCATATCTTGTGCCCATCTTCGTGGTGGTCGACCTCTGCCCCTCCTTTCCTGCTAGGCTGCCTTCTACTATTTTTTTCCCTGGTCTGCCACTTCAACTGAAAAGCCGCCATTTTCTTCCTTAAGGACTGGGAGAAAGCCCAGGACTCGCATTCATATGTAGCTACATGGAAGTGCTGCTATAGAACAATATATATACCTTGTGTATGAACTAAAAGTTGTGTGTTAGTTACACTGGATAGGTATAGAATACCTGGTGATTAAATTAGTTGCATGGGATTCAGCCTCCTGACAGTTACGAAACTGGAATTTTTTTTTTTTTTTTAGCCAGCAAGGTTTATTCTAGCCTTACCAGATGGAATCCATAGATGTTTTGCATGTTGTCGTAGAAGAAAAAGAGAACGGTTTATCATCATTGATGTTTTAAAAATTATATTAGCCCCCGCTTGTGCTGTTGGTCATCTTGGTTGTCCACCGCCTTCTGTCCTGTATGCAGCCAGTCATTTCTGATACAGATATTCTTGCATATAGTGATATCAGACTGTCTTGCCTCCCTTGATCTGCCCCTGCCTGTCTTCCTCTTCCACTTTCCTGTTGTCGTTATGTTCTTCAGTTTACTTTTTTCTCAAGACATCATTGAGAATGTGCATTTTCTTCTTCTGCAGAAGGTAACCATTCTCTCTGTGAATAATTTCTTTCAAGTTATCCTTATTACACTTTTATGTCCATGGTGTTCACATCATTATTCTTTGTTTATTGTTCATTTCTATATTGTCTTAACTGCACATTAGTCATAGCAATAAGTGCATAGATCTTATCCTAAACATGCTCCTAAGTGTTTGATGACTCCTTTTCCTTACTTGTTGATATAGCAACTGTGAGCTAGCTCTTGCATGGTTTTCACCTCACGCTGCACCAGTTAGTATATCTAGGCTTCTCATCAAAGTCAGAAAGAAATCATTATCTTTGTGTTTGTCATCAGCACATTTTATACCTCATAGAGCATTAATTATATTCATTCTGTCCATAGAAGATTGACTAGGATGACATTGCCTGCAAGTACATCTGTCCTGTTATTGCCTTTCACACCTGCATATCATTAGTCTATAAATTCACATCTCTGCTGCTTCCACATATTTTCTCACTGATCCACTGGCTGTGATTTTCCCCTTCAGCACAGCAGAAATGTTTCTGTATTCAGTAATCTGTAGCGCATGTCCACTATTCAGTCCAGCATTTCAATGTCTGATACTGATAATGAGAACTTTTGTACTAGTAATTCAGGATCTTTATTCTAAGTTCAGAATCTTTTGACCAAAAATTCATAATCTTTGCTCTTATATTTTAAAACATGGTACTGATACTTCAGATCCTTAATATGTATAATTAAGAATCCTAGTATGGATAGGCATAATTCTGGTACTGATAGTTCATAATCTTTAGTAGGATAGTTCATAATCTTTAGTAGGATAGTTCATAATCTTTAGTAGGATAGTTCATAATCTTTAGTAGAATAGTTTATAATCTTGTTATAGATAATTCATAATCTTGGTATGGATAGCACTTAATATTTATATTAAATATATATTATTCTGTCTTTCAGAGGAAAGATGCCTCAGTGGAGTTTATAGGAGGGCTACCAGAATCATTAGCATGTATTGCACTTTGTGAAGGTAAAAGCTTTATTTTTCCTGGACATTGTTTGATGTGGCTATATTTACAGTTGATTCAGAGCTATCTTGTTTTATTTGTTTGTTTTGTTATTTAAAAATAAAAATTAAAGAACCTTTTTTTTAACTTCATGACATGTATGTTGGCTATTGAAGGTTATATCTAGCCTTAGATGGAATCTAGAATTAATTCTGCTTCACGTGAATAAGAATAACAATAATTAGCAAATTTGTAAAAATACAACCTGCTAATTTTAATACAAATTGTTGATAAAAATGTTATGCTGGGCATTCTATGAGAAGTGGACTCAAGAACTTCGTAATGACTGGCAAGTTTGATGGGGGGGGGGGGGGGGGGGGGGGGGGGGACACAATGAAGTTCAACCCCACCATGACCGCACAGCAAGTGATAAACACCTTTTGATGCAAAGTGTCACCATTCAGATGAGAATCACCCGGGTGCAAGTCCCCAAACCTTTTCAGCCATTAATAAAATAACAAAAAATTGCATCCCAAGATGGGACGGCTTCAGTTAGCCTGAGATAAAATGTTGGATGGCTTGTCAGCATCAGTGAGATGAGACAACAGTCTGACCTATGTAAAATGGTGAAACATGACTGCTTTCGATTATCAGCATGGCACATGATGATGTAAGAATATATAAGAAGCTTATGTGTATTAACAAACATGAAAGGATGAACTACAGTAGAGCAGTGGCTAAATGCTTGTCTGTCAGCCCAGAAGTACTGGTTTGAATCCACATTTAGGCAGATTTGTTAACCCTTATGCCTCAGTGACCTAGACAAAACAAACAACAAAGCCAACTTTCCTCATTTCCATTTTTCAGATATTTCCAGTGAATTATTTCCAATGAATTTTTCGAAAAACAACCATTTTATTACATGTCATCATCATGTAGCAGGTTCTTTGCAGAGCATCGCTCTCATCACTGTCTGCGTGAAAAAAACTTGGTCTCTCGCCAACTCTCCCACCTCATGTATTTTCATATTCAAGAAGTCACTTATATTCTGTGCCCTTCTTGATGTTAGTCAGTCCCTGCCTCTCCTTCTGCTGTTATTTTTTTCTTCTCTACTGTGGCGCTTGACATGCCCAAAGTATTTCAGCTTTGGAGACAAGATGCTGCTAATTAGCCAGTATTAAACGTCACAGAAATAAAATCACAGAAAATCAATTTATCATCCAAAACACGAACAAATACTATGCGGAGTAGAGGGAGTAATCAATAAAAACGAATGCAGCATAAAATCATCTGGCTTACATCTCTTGGGGGCTGTAAAGTATCTATGGCCTGACTTTTACTTGCGTTTGCTCTCTATAAATAAATATACTTTTTACAAAGAAAATTAATACAATGAATGATGTACTCAGATATGCTGTGTCACCTACAGAAAATGAGACAGAAGAAAAATGATACAGAAATTTTAGAATCATTTTAAATTTAACTATTTGTGTCTCAGGGGGCTTAACATCACAGTCCCAAGGGGCAATCAAAAGAGACGTAAAATCGGCGCATCATACATTCATTGGGCCTCTAGGTAGGAATCTATGAATGTATGATACATTCCTTGGGACTCAAAGAGTTAAAAGGAAGCCACTGTGGTGTAGCGGCTAGACACTCAACTGCGGACCTGAAGGTTTTGAGTTCAAATCTGCATGGAGCTGGATTTTTTCAAACATGACCTTGGCTGTTGGGTTGACCAAGTTTAGAATAAGTAACAGATAAATTCCTGGAAAGTAAAGGTGGCCAGCATGATGTTGACCATATTGCTCATGGAAGCCCAATTGGCTTAACTCTTTGAGTCCCAAGGAACGCATCATACATTCATAGGTTACTGCCTAGAAGCCCAAAGAACGCATAATGTGTCGATTTTACGTCTCTCTTGGCTACCCTTTGGGACTCAAAGAGTTAATATGAGCCTAGTCTCATACGCCCACTGCACCACTGGCATGAAAAACAACCTTTATTATTTTGAAAAGAAAATGTTGCTGTCTCCACATTGAATGTTATCTGCAGTGTGTCTCCTGACTATGGGAATATATTCTGAGGTCCCCCAGTCTCTTCCATGTTATGACTCTTATACCATTGTCTGAATTGTAGACATCAAAGGTAACATTGTGAAAGCTTTAGCCCGGAGAGTCACACTGTATTACTATCTATACTTTAATTAATAAAACACTGTGTATATTATATAATACAGCAAAATGAAAATATATTACCTGGATGGAATTCAATTAATGGAAAATGAAGTTTCTGATTTGCAAATCCTAATTTTCTTATTTTCACAGTTATTGCGTGTGACAGCCTGAAGAAGTATGACGATATCTGGACATGTGATCAGAGTGATTTTGTGTGCACCAGATTTTTCTTTGTGTGAGTAGAGCAGCATTTGTGATAAGTAATAGTTTGAGGATTATTTTCTTCTTCCCAGCCATCTACTGGCTGTAAAGTCTGGAGGAAAGTTCTGGTTGGTTGTTCACTTCTGGACTTTGGTCTTGTTCCAGAACTTAAATTTTGCGTGCACATCAGTTTTACAAATCTGATTTATTGTATGCAGACCTTTTGTTCCTTGCTTCTCAGGCAGATGCACTCTGACTGTTAAGGAAAAACCTTAATTAGTCACCTTGTACGACATGCTTAATGAAGTTTAAAAAAAAAAAGGGGGGGGGGGGGTGGGGGGGGGGGGGAGACGGTGTCTATTTCTGTTTCCACCAAATGGGGTTCCATACCCAACATGGGGAAGATTATTTGAATTATGTAGGTTTTGGAGGAAGAAAAAAGAAATAGACCCACTGGACCCTAAAGGGGCGTGCATAAAATGCCTTTACTGAAAAGGTTGACTGAAATTGGATGTGTACCAAAAGGTACATAATCTAGTTGAGAAGCTTTGGCCAGATTTATTACTTTATTATGCATTGAACCATTATTGCCTACTCTTTTTTTTTTTTAATGGTGAATGGAGAAGAAGAAGATACATGCGTAGCTCCTTGTGAGTGCATGAGTGTGCACACACATATGTTTTTATGACTAATGACTTCTCATTCACATTTTTTTAAAGAGGAGTATCAGAGAAAAAACTTGCTGAAGATTATATTTTGTTGACATCATAGAGGCCTGTGTTGGTCCTGCCTCTTAATTGTCTTGTTTATCCCTTTATGGTTGAAGGCATCTGGTCTATGTTTGTTGGTTAGTGTTCTTCTACCACAGCCCACTGGTGGGCCAAAGAAATCTCCAGTTTGGCCATGAAAAATTTCTTCATGACCATATAACAGGTAGGATAGGTAGTAAGTTTCTCTCTTCCAAGACTGCAGTCTGTAGGATTAACACATCAAGGGTGAGAATAAAAAAATGTCACATTAGCTGAAACGTGTCATTATTTGACATTGGATTTAATTAAAAAAACTGCAATCTACATTTTTTTCTGTGGGCAGCATTTGTAAAAAAAAAGTTGAACACTGGTGTACATTGCTTAAATTGAAGGGAGACTGCTGTAATTATCCTGCTGGAAGAGACAGTTTTTAGTTGACATTGTTAGGGATAACTGTTTTAGTTTAAACAGTGAGAAAATTAAAAAAAACAGAAGTAGCAATATAAGGAGACTTCTCTAAAATACATATATGCACGTAGCATACCTGTCTCCACCTTTCTCAACATGCAGTGTGAGTCAGTTAACAATCATGGCATGTGTGTACAGCTGATTCTCAAGCCAGCGGAGTGCAGCAGTGACTGTCTCCACCTCCATTCTAAAACTAGTTGTGATACTAAATGCCATTTTTTGTTGCACTAAGCGATGTCCATTCACCTTTGCTATGAAACCCCATGCACTTCTTCTGCCCCTCAACACAGAGCCATCTGTATAGATAATCACATCACTTGGGTGGGAATTGTCATGAATCATTTGTTGAACTTCTGATTCTGCAGCACCAGCTAGCCAGTCCCTGTACTCAGACTCAAAGTGATAAGAACCCTACACAAGTCTGAAACGTGCTAGGAATCGTTGACCCACTCCTCCTCACCTTGCACAAATTTATCAAGCCTGCTCACAAGTCTGATTGTGTCTTCAGCTTGTGCTATCCAAGATCTTTTTTCTTTTCAGTCTGTGACCCTTAGCTCTAACCAGGGCTTCATGCAGGAGGTGCTTCTTATCTGCAGTTATAATTACAAAATGCCTCAAGGCATCAGAAAGCTGCTGTTACTGGCTCCACCTCTATTTTCATACTGGATGTTGTGGTGATGTACACAAACCTCTCTGTTTTCAGTATCCATTTACCTTTGCAATAAAACCCTACCCACTCTTCCTACCTCTCACTACAGACCCATCTGTGTATATGATGTTTTCTATGTGTGTTTTCATTGGTCAGCTTTTGCACCGATGCCTCTGTTTCATCAGCTATACAGTCATGGAACCCTCGGTCCAGGGTAACTATAACTATGTGCAAGTTTGTGTTTTGCTGGCCAAAATTATGATCCATTTCTCACCATGCCTTATTCTGTCTCCCACCAGAATTGCAGCTCACTGTTGATGCAGTCAGTCGATTACTCACAATGTGCATGCAGTACTGCATAAGTATACACAACATTCCGAACATTATCAGCCACATGCCGTTTTTAGTGTAATTCATAATACAAATTCTTTACGGACACAAACAAATATTTATTTTAAAAAAAACATTTCCCATACAATCCACAGCCCACATGTTGCACCAGGCATTCAGCTAAGTAGTTAGGCAACAGAACCTTCCTCCCATTTGTACTACTTTTTGCTTGCCTTCAGCTATTCCCTCTAATATGGTTTTTATGAAAATATTATGTCTTTTAATGTGGCTAAAATATTTTTTGTTGTCTCCATACTTCTTTCAACAATGTTTTTTTTTTCCATTCTGTCTTTTCACAACCTCTGTATTTTTTTCTAATTGTTTTAAATACAACAAATTTCTGTTTGGTGTATCCACATCTCCGCAGGCTGAAGTCATTTTTTTGGTATGTTTTATGTGCAGAATTATTAGAGATGAATATACAAAACATTAGACAATTCTCACTTTTTGCATTGTATGTCTCTCTAAATGTAAATTTTCCCATGTTTTTTTGAAAATAACTGAAACCAATTGTTAAAAAACATTTCTTTTATTAATTACATATAAATAGATTATTTTCATGTTGCAGATATAACAAGCATAATGCACGAGACATAGCTGCCCGTGACATCCGGACATTGATGCCAGAAATACACAGGTCGATTGAAATGACACTGGCAGCTGAAGGCTAAAGATGTCCAGATAATTTGTTAGAGTGAAACCCTCTTGTTCTTGTAATTTAAAATATTGAATTTACTATCCTGAATTCTTAATGATGTTTTTATAGACAGTCATTATGATGTCACTTACATATTACCCAGTAGCAGAACTTTCATCCACAGTGATGGTTGTTTTTTAAACAGTCATTATGGTGTCACCACCATTTTATCTTTTCTGAAAGAAGTATCATACTCATGTCTTTATATGGTCAATTATTATGGAGTCACGTCCAGTAATTTTTCCAGTATGTGACGTGATCCTTAATGATATTTTTATAAACAGTCCTTATTGGTGTCACCCTTTTCCAAAAGCAGAAGTTTCATCCTTACTGATGTTTTTATAGACAGCCGTTATGTTATAATGCTGTACCTTTTTATTTTCAATGGCAGACATATATCCCTAGTTATTTTTTCATAGCAAGCATTATTTTATCCCCTAAAGTATCTTTTCCTACAGCAAATTTCAAATCCATACTGTTTCATAGTCATAATGATGCCACCCGATGTACCTTTTCCATCAGCAGACCTGAAATCATTCAGCTGTTTAAGTCATTCTAGTTCTCTATAAGATATTGCCAAATGTGATTTAAATGCTCCACATCTCATTAGATAAAAATACTGGCCTAATGATGGGAGGTCAATATATTTACAATTTCAGATATTTTTATGTGTACTGATTCATATGATGCAGAGATTTAAGTAAAATACACAGTTCCAGATGTCTTTCATATCAACATTGCCTTAAATAAGACTGTTGTGATAAATAGTTTCTGTCCACTATTTTGAAACACCTTCATCATTGCTTCTATGTCATTTATTTGCCAATATAATGCTATAAGTGAAAAGCATTTGAAGATTTAATAATGTAGTATTACTAGCTTGTGAGTCATTCTATTAATATAATAGCCATACTGAAGTAATTTAACCTTTTTTTTCACAGGGCAAATATCCACTCTGAAAAAATGAGTATTTTGATTTTAAAGAGTAAATACACTGAATTTGGCCAGGTTTTCTCAGTCTGATCAAGTGCAAAATGTAATTTAACATTAAGAAAATCGCTAGCGTTCAATGGGAGGGGGTTAAATTAGAAAAATTGTTTTTTTTGACATTCCTTGTGACTGAAAGAGTTAAGTGTATCGTGCATACCTGTGCATGGTTTTATCTATAGCATCAGAAACAAAGCAAGCATCAGCAAAAATTGAAGGCAGACAGATGGCAGCTTAGGAAGGAATAAAATCAAATGTTACATGACACAGCTGTTCTTGTTAAGCTACCCATGTCTATTTTTAAAAAAAATTTATACCTCACAAGTAGCATAGAAATAATTTCTTTGTTGTAAAAATCTCTGACAGCTGTTTTATTTATGCAAAATGCAGTTTTTGTGTGCTAAACTTACCAATAGATATTGGTCAAACAATTATTTGAGTATTATAAAAAATTATAAAAAAGCCATACCACATTCAAATTCATTATTAGGAAATAGTTGATTACTTTATTCATTTGTCCTTTCAGATATGGCAATCACCATTTATAGGCATTTCATTGTGACAGTGCCTTTCTCTAGAATAGTTTACTTTAAATTATAATTATAAAGCCTGTGTTTTTACCTTAACTATATGTGTTTTAACTGTTTTTTAATAATGCATTATAAATTAAACTGGAAAATTTGAAGCAAGTCATTATGTTTAAGTACTTAGGTATCCTGATATCAGCAGATAGAAGTTCAATGTAAAAAAAAAAAAGCTCAAGCAAAAGTAGCATTTAACAGTTGAAGAACATCCATATCTTTGTCATTTCTCTTTCTCTCTCTCTCTCTCTCTCTCTCTCTCTCTCTCTCTCTCTCTCTCTCTCTCTCTTTCTCTCTCTCTCTCTCTCTCTCTCTCTCTCGCACGCACGCACGCACGCCTAGAAAGCTGGGACTCAAAATCTTTCGACCCAATTCCTCGAAGGGTTACCCCCCTCTCTCTCTCTTTATCTATGCCGTCCACACATGCTCACTATCCATAAGTTAAAATCATTTGCAACTGTTGTTTGTTTAAACTAAGATTAATTTATTTATATTATTTTCCTGTTTCTTCTA